AGAAGAGGCCAGGAAAATCATGTCCCTGGACTTTGCTCCCTGCCTCTCCCACCATATGCAAATAGAAACCTGGAATACAGAGCAAGAGAGCAGTTGGGGTCAGCAGGAAGACAGTGATAAAAGACCTTCCTTTTGATTGGCCAAGGGCAAGCCTAGGGGACTTGGGGGCCTCTGTCTTCCCCTATCCCCAATATGTAGCAAATGCCTGGCAGAGTGGTTGCTCAGTAATTGGAGAATGAATCACAGAATGCAAAGCAGACAGGAGTCTTCATGTCTATGCCCTGTCTGCTGGAGCCTCACCCATTCTTTTCTGCTGCTCCTCCCTGTGTCTTTCCCTCTGCCTTGGACTGTCCCATTTTCCAATCTTTATAAATGTTCTCCCTAGCTTCCAGACTTGGTGTAGAGAAAGCCTTTAACTGATTTGTCCATGTTCACTGGTCAAGAAAGTCTCGTGAGGAAGATGCTCTGTGACCTTGAGGAGTCACCTTGTTCGTCCTCCTTGCTCTTGGGAAGGGATGCTTTTTCAGGCCCAACTAGTTAGCGCCTCCTCTGCTCTCATGGACTCAAGGATATTGAGTGAATGAATGAATGAATGAATGAATTTGATTCCCTCAATCAGTTACCAGCTGGGAGTCACCACTTTCCCCCAGGACTATTACTGACAAAGAATGTGATGGAAATGGGACAATCGGCTCTTGCTTGTGTGCTACTAATGGAAAGGAATGGAGGCATGGAGGTCTGAAAGCTATAGCTAATCCAAGATGGGGCCCATCATTGGGTGGACTGCCATCAGAAACCTGTATACACACACAGAGATGTGTGCTCATCAGCTTACAGGCTCACATCTATGGAAGATACTGCAAATATTTAACAACTGGCACAACCATGGTACCATATAGGGATATGGTGGTTGTAGGGATGTCAGCCACAGACAATAGGGCCAGACAGGTCAGTCTCTGCTGGCTGGACACCCATTCTGATCACGTCCATGTTCATGACCACCCCCACACAGATGTGCACCCACCCACGTTCTCTGACATTTGTTGGAGCTCACCTGTCAACTGGCAAGCAGCACTCACAATTCATGCCACAAGCCCTGGAGCCTGGGACCACAGGAGCAGAGAGTACTGCCTGACCTTGGAGGGACCCATGAGATAATTTTAGGCTGGAGGGAGTCACAAAGCACCTGGGCAATAGGCTGTGCACAGAAAGGAGCAGCTGACCCTGACAGGGAGGGCGTGGAATCCAGGGCAGTCAGGTAGGACCGGGGGAGGCATCTGAGAGGAGGTGTGTCTTGCTTTTATATCTTAAAGGAGAGGACATGCCTAACCTGGTCAGCAGGAGGCTGAGAGAACAGCCCAGAACGTGACATCAGGGAAGAGCGTGATGCTGTGAGAAACATGTAGCCATCTCATAAGCACTGCATCTTCATCCAAGTCCGGAAATTACATTAATTTTCTTTATAGAGGAAAGAAGCCTGAGAGGGGAGCAGGGTGTCAGATCCGGCTGGCTAGAGGGTCTGTGACAGGAAGAAAAGTGCAGGAGGAGACAGTCCTGGTAAGCTCAGTCTTTCACACTGTGGTTCAGATGTGGGATGGACAGCAGGGACTAGGAACTAGGGCTTATGCGCCTGGTATAGGGCAGGCACCTGTGCTGGATGTTTGTACATGAGAAAATCAGACAGCAGAGAGGCTGAGAGCATAGACTGCGGCCAGGCTACTTGGGCTGAAACCTGGTTCAAATCCTGACTCAGCTACTCACTAGCTGTGCAACCTTCTGTAAGTTACTTAACTTCGTGTGCCTCAGTATCTTCATCTACAAAATGGAAATGATAATAGTACCAGCCTCTTAGGCTGTTGTGAGAATTAAATGAGTTATTAGACACGAAGTGCTCAGAGTGGTGCCTGGCAGAGCTCACACTGTGAAGTGTTAACTATCATCATCATCATCATCATCATTATTTACAAGGTGCCTCCCAACCACCTTGGTTTGCAGGTAGAGCAGGCATTAGTGTCCTCTTTTTAGAGGTATGGATACAGAGGTTTAGCAAGTTGCGAGACCTGCTCATGGTCACATGGCAGGACCAGGACTGGGCCCTCAGAGTCTCAGGTCCATACACTTTGCCAGAGCTTTGGGGTGGGGCTGGAGGATGGAGATGGCCAGCAAAGCTCAAAGGAGATGCTACCAGCCACGGGGCTGAGCAAGGAGAAAGAGAGGGGATGCAGCTGCCCTGGAAGGCACAGTGGGTCTCTCTAGGACCCACTTGGCAGGATAGGGGCGGATCTGAGTGCCTGGCAGGATAGCCCTCCTCTGTCTTTTATAACCCAGTTCCTCTGGGGTGAGCTTACCTTTGGCCTTGCCAGCTGCAAACCTGTTGAATAGCTGTGCCCCCCCACCCCCCAGATGAGGAGCTCTGATTGTGGCCAAGTTCCCCAGGGACTGTGCTCCAACCAGCTTGCCTGGGGCTGAGTGCCCTGCCCACAACTATAGGAGGATGTGGGGGACTTGGGGGGGATTCACAGACAACATACTCATTTCCTGGGTCCATCTGTGGAGGAAGGATGGCAAGGAACAGCAAGGGAGGAGGTTGTGGGGCAGGGGCAGAGCAGAGGCCGCAGGAATGTCAAAGGCTGGGCTGGGGAGCTGCCATGCATGTCAGAGAGACATACAGCCTGCACGGCCATTGAGGGGGCCACGTGCAAGGCCTGCGCTCCAAGAGCTGTGAAAGGCCTTTAGTGTTACACACCAAGCTCCCGGGTCCCCAGCACAGGGCACAGTGTCTGACACCAGTAAGCGCTCAATAGAGGTTTACCAGAAGGAGAGAGGGAGCGAGGGAGGAATATACCAGGTGGTCTGTGATCTGGAGAACCTTCTGCTCTCCTTACAAAGCAGAACTGAGATGCCATGCGCCACAGCCTTCAGAAGAACCTCGTGGGAGCTGCCCACAGGGTCTCTGTACTTGCAGTTTCTGCTGAAAACATGCTAAGGGCTGAGGGAGTTGAGGGGCGCTCATGCAGTTCACGGGCTGCACTGGCCAGAAAGACCTCTGGGAAGAGGGCAGGCTGGGGGTGTGGCAGAGCAAGAGGCGGCGAAAGGTAAAGAAGGATGGATGAAAGATGGAGAGGATGGATGAAGAGGTATGGAGGGAGAGGGTGCGAAAGAGGGAGGGAAAGAGGAATTGTTGGTGACCCGTGAAGATAAAATGGCAGGGGAATGGGTGGAGAGGAGTGCAGAGTGGGGAGAGGGAGAGAATTCCAGATCAACCCTCTGAATAAAGTTAGAGACCCCACACTGCCTGGCTCTAGATTCTTCTCCCTCCTACGGCCACACCAGCAAGAGTCACAGTCCACTGTGGAGCCCCTGGTTCTGTGTTCTTTGGACACGAGCAATCTCCAGGGGCAGAGCCAGTCATGGGCAGAATAGGAGCCACAGCAACAACGACAGTCATGGGACAGGACTGGGGCCCATTGTAGGAGCCAGGGACCCAGGATGGAGAGGACAGCAGGCAGAGTGTGGGGCAGGGATCACAGGACGGAATGGTACTGAGCTCAGTGGGCCACCCCTCTCAGGGAGGCCCACACTCCTGGGAGGGCCCCAACTGGTCTGCATTCTTGGTTTGCATGGTCTGGAGAGATGCAACAGGAGTTTAGTCTCATCTTGGCAGCAGCTTCTTTATTTGAATTCTAAACAGATGATTCCTGCCTGCAAGTTGCTCCTAGTCTTACTAGCAGACATACACTGGAAGAAAGGCAGAAATGATGAAATGGACCACCCAGGAGTCTGTCCTTGCAAACTCCAGGCCCTGGGCAAGCCTCTTTCTGTTGTCTCCATTCCTCCTCCCAGTTGACTTCCTGAATTTCTCAGCTACTTGCCTCTGATATAAGTCTGTTATGTTATAAAATAATGATTGGATGACCATCCCTTCTTTAGAATGGTCAGCCTTTCACTCCATTCCCTTCTCCTCTTCTTCATTTAATCCAGTACTTAAGAGACCTGGATGCCTGTCGTCCCTTGCACAGCCTCTAGCCTGCCTTATTATGGGAGTCTGAGAGAGGCAGAGTGTGGAGAGTCCATTTCCAGAGAAGTTGCAGAAGGATGCAGCCACCTGCGTCTATGGTTGCTCTGGCCTGGGCTGCTCATGTCCCATGCCAGAGAGAGGGGCATTCCTCCCCTAAAACCCCAGCAGAGAGATTGCTGTCCTTTGTGGTCTTTTTAGCCTCTAGCCTGCCTTATTATGGGAGTCTGAGAGAGGCAGAGTGTGGAGAGTCCATTTCCAGAGAAGTTGCAGAAGGATGCAGCCACCTGCGTCTATGGTTGCTCTGGCCTGGGCTGCTCATGTCCCATGCCAGAGAGAGGGGCATTCCTCCCCTAAAACCCCAGCAGAGAGATTGCTGTCCTTTGTGGTCTTTTGTGGGTTAGTGAAGAGACCATCAGTGGAGTGTGTCTCCAGCAGGCCTAGGGGAGAGGATATGCCTGTACGAATGGTCCCTTTTTGAGAAAGAGGAGGACACAGCTATGGTTGGAGCTCTCAGATACTCTACCCAGTTGCCTGGCCTGTCTAGGGAAATCCATCGCCTCCAAGCCCTTTGAGATCCCAAGAGGAAGCCCACAACTCAGAGAAGATTAATCAAGATAGGGACGGTAAAGTGTCAGTGACATACCCCTGGAGAGGCTGGGGCCTGGGGCAAATTACCCTGTAACAGCAGGTTAATTAGATAAGACCCAAATTACATGAGCAAGGCTTGCAAGCCCAGCAATTTGAAGGTTTCATGTTGTTTTAGAGGTGGGGAGGGCTGATCTGTAGCTCAGCATAGAGAAAATGACTTCTTGCTTCCAGGCAAGCCAAACCCACAAATTAAGCTCTTGACAGCCCATCCAAGAGCCCCAGTGCCAAGCACATATAAGAAAGGGCACCTGCCAGTCCTCACTGCAACCTGCAGAACCCGAGTGGGATTTTGCCTTCGTCCCTCCTGAATCTGAGCTCTATCTCTACCAGCATCATGAGCCGTCAATTCACCTGCAAGTCGGGGACTGCTGCCAAGGGGAGCTTCAGTGGCTGCTCGGCAGTCCTCTCAGGGGGCAGCTCATCCTCCTACCGGGCAGTGGGCAAAGGGCACAGCGGGGGCTTTGGAAGTCGGAGCCTCTATAACCTGGGGGGCACCCGGAGCATCTCCCTCAATATGGCCTGTGGCAGTGGACGGGCAGGGGGCTATGGATTTGGCCGGGGCCGGGCCAGTGGCTTTGCTGGAAGCATGTTCGGCAGTGTGGCCCTGGGTCCTGTGTGCCCGACTGTGTGCCCACCGGGGGGCATCCACCAGGTCACCGTCAATGAGAGCCTCCTGGCTCCCCTCAACGTGGAGCTGGATCCTGAGATCCAGAAAGTACGAGCCCAGGAGCGGGAGCAGATCAAGGCTCTGAACAACAAGTTTGCCACCTTCATCGACAAGGTGGGTCTTCTAGGACCTGGGGAACCTGTGAACAGCTTTTCTGGTCTTTTCTTGGAACCTGAGCTTTTGTTACAGCAGGAAGGACTGAAGTTAGATATGAGGAGGCACTTACCATGGACAAGGCAGGCATTTCTATCATCAGTGTGACTTACATAAGAGTCCCTGTGTAGTCTTTCCTGAAAGAACACAGAGGTAGGTTAGTTTCCACTGGTACAGGCTTATCAGGGCTACTGGCAGGAGCTCTAAAGGGAAAACCCCTGCTTCTTACTCTCAAGGGTCAGTGTGGTGTCACTGCTAAGACTGTGCTTGGCAAGCTGTGTGCAAAAAAAGCCAGCGAGAGGGAATCTGCCCCAGAGTAACCAAGGAGGCTGTCTTCCTCCCTTCCATTGCGAGCTGATCTCGTCCACCTGTCATCTGACTGATGAATCAGGAGATTCAGTGCGTGGTCATGCACAGGTGGCTCAGTGGTGGATATTTGTTTTGGTCAGCTAAGGACTCTCTTGAGAGGCAGAATAGTGCAGTGGGGAAGAAGTCTACAGTGCTCTGAAGTCTGACCTGGCTTCAACCCTGGCCCGTCATTTAACAGCTGTGTGACTTAATGTGGCTAAGTCAGCCACAGAGACAGCTATGTGGATATGTGGAGACTTATTTATCCTGTCTATTTCCTCATCTTTTCAATGGAGATATAACCTACCTCTTGGGGTTGTTGTCACGTTTATAAAAGCAAATGCACATGAAGATCTTGGCACAGTGCCTGACACATACTAAGTACTCCTCAAATGGTGATTATTGTTACTATCATTTTTATCTCCAGAGAGTTGTTGAGAAAGAGAGGAATCAAGGGTCTGGAAGAGGCCTCTAGGGATCATCCAGTCCAGACAGGCCCCTGACTTCTGAGAGATAGGAAATTATAGTTCCCATTTTGCAAGTTAGCAAAAGCATGGAGTTAAATGCTGTGTGCACGGTATAGCATCTGGCTGGGGGAGGGAAGCTGCGGCTGGACACTTGGGAGAGGGAAGCTGCAGCTGGGGCCTGAGCAGGAATTTGGAATACCCAGTAGCTCTTGGCCCATTGAACCTTGTTGAGTCTGATATGTTATAAAATGCTGATTGGATAACCATCCCTTCTTTAGAATGGTCAGCCTTTCAAAAGATGGACCCAGCTGGACTCTGTCCCAGTATTTTCAGGCACACCCTGCCTGAGTTGGTCTGGCCATGGCGGGTTCTGAGTGACAAGATGCATGGGTTACAGGGACACATGTCTGGGTTCAGTTCTGGGCTCTACCCCTTATTAAACTGTTGAACCTTGGAAAGAGGCTAAACCTCTCTATGCCTCAGTCTTCTTTCCACGTGCTAGGGTTAGTGATTCTACCAACTCAGGCAGCTATTACAACAGGTAAAGGAGTAAATGTAGGTGCAGCACTTTGCACAGTGCCTGGTAAGGGACAGGCGTGACTATTTCCATGGGTCCTCAAGCGTTTCTGGGCTTTGGGCTCCAGGTGCGGTTCCTGGAGCAGCAGAATCAGGTGCTGGAGACCAAGTGGGAGCTGCTGCAGCAGCTGGACCTGAACAACTGCAAGAACAACCTGGAGCCCATCCTTGAGGTCTACATCAGCAACCTGCGGAAGCAGCTGGAAACGCTGTCCGGGGACAGGGTGAGGTTAGACTCGGAGCTGAGGAGCGTGCGGGACGTGGTGGAGGACTACAAGAAGCGGTGAGTGAGGAGGGGGTCCCTCTGCAGCTAGACAACTGCCCCTCTGAGCTCGTCCTGCAGGAGTGGGCTGCTTGGGGCCTGGCAGCCATCCCAGCTTAAAGCTTTGAGCAGAATCACCCCAACAAAACCTGGAACTTGCTCCATGCTCTTCCAGCCTCTGGTCTGGCACTTGGGACAAATGTCCAGTTAGCTGGACAGTGACTCGAGGATTATCTATGGCTCTGGGGTGAGGGAATCCTTGAGTAAACCACTCCTGTTCTCCCAGAGCTGTGTCCTCATCAGTAAAGAGGGCTTAAATTAATCTATCTCCGGAACTACTATGAGAAGTAACTATGGAAATGTGCCCATCAATCTGTTAGGCTTCATTCAAATTTTGAGGGAGGAGATTGTTTCTTGTTTGCTCTGAGATTTCCCACAGTGTGTTTACTCCATATGTTCCTTCCTCATTTTCAAAACTGGATCTTCAATAATCTTTCAAACTTGCTTACCACATCCTGTCCTCCAGAAAGCCTTCTTGGCTTGGCCAGCTAGCCCCACTGGCCCAGTACTCAGCAGCCCCTCAACATCTGTGCCCTCTGATGAGCACACTGCCCTCACTCAGGGTCTTCTCTGGGCAAATGAGGGTTCTCAGTTAGACATATTCACAGACCAAGCCCTGGCATTCTCACAGGTATGAGGAAGAAATCAACAGGCGGACAGCAGCAGAGAACGAGTTTGTGCTGCTCAAGAAGGTGAGGAGGGGAAGGTGGGCCCTGATCCGGGGCTGGCCTGGGAGCAGGTGGAGCTGAGCCTTCCAGTGTGCTCTGCTCCTAGAGAAAGCAAACTGGTTCAGAAATAGTGAGGTAAAGGCTAGGGAAAACCATGATGGGAAGGATGAGCCACCATCCAGAAAAGGGGATAGAAAGGAAGGGAGGCTGAGGGACCTCTTGAGAGTTTAGTGTGGATGGGTCTGTCCACAATGATGGGTGCAGAGGATGACACACAGGGGCTCCCTGAGGCCGCAGGGCCTGGCTCACAGGTCATGGGGTGACTGACAGCCACCTGGCTAGGGCTCTTTCCTTAGTGGAGCACCCCATTGCTGCTGAGGATGGGGCAGGGCTGGGCCTTTTGCCCCTCCCCTCCTTTCTATGACCCTCCCAAAGAGAAAAGGCTGGCCATTTCCCCACGAAGGGCACCCAGCTCGGGTGGGCATTGCCTCCTTGGCTGCACCAGCAGTGACCCAGGGATGGCTGGGGCATCTTTCAGGACGTGGATGTGGCTTATGCCAATAAGGTGGAGCTGCAGACCAAAGTGGACTCCATGGACCAGGACATCAAGTTCTTCAAGTGTCTCTTTGAAGCTGTAAGTCTGTCTCTCCTCTCCACCCTCTGAGGACAGCCAGTGGGTATGATTCTATTCCAGGGGCTGGGAGAGCCTGCCACTGTCAGGGAGGCCCCCCTGCTTAGCCATTCATCTCCCATCTCAGCTCTGAGAGACTCCTCAACCTCTACCCTCTGGGAGGGAAGGAAATGGACCAGGCCCTGGCTTCATGGAATCTGTTTGGGGCCCAGAGGGAGCTCGCTTTGCCCAAGAGCACTAGCCTTGATCCAGAGCCTCTGCCCTGGTGTCATGGGGACTTGCTCGCTTTGCTTGGAGAAGGTTGCTGGCCTCTGCTGGTCAACTCCTGAGCCCATCCCTGCTTCCCTGCAGGAGATTGCTCAGATCCAGTCCCACATCAGTGACATGTCTGTCATCCTGTCCATGGACAACAACCGGGAGCTGAACCTGGACAGCATCATTGATGAGGTCCGCACCCAGTATGAGGAGATTGCCCTGAAGAGCAAGGCCGAGGCCGAGGCACTGTACCAGACCAAGGTGAGCTGGGCTGAGGCAGGGCCGGGGAGGGTGATGCCAGTGGGCATGAGGGCTGCGTCTGATCGTTCCCAGACCAGAGGCCATGTCCACTTAAGTGTGCAATGCCTTGTCCCACGACATCACCAACCCCAAGACATGTGCTCCCACGACTTGTCACCATGCTCACCGATGGCTGCGTATTTTGGGGTCCCTAGTTCCAGGAGCTGCAGCTGGCAGCTGGCCGGCATGGGGATGACCTCAAAAACACCAAGAATGAGATCTCGGAGCTCACCAGGCTCATCCAGAGGATCCGCTCAGAGATTGAGAATGTGAAGAAGCAGGTGAGGGGACCAACCGCCTGTGGTCTGGGGCAGACAAATGCCTTTGGACCGGGGGTGAGTTGGCTGAGGATGTCAGCCTCCTAAATCTCTGCCCACGAGAGGAAAGAGGCCAAGGAAGTCACTGGCACAAACAGTTAGAGCAGACATCCCTGGGGCACTCATCTCCTACTTACCCCAAGCACCTTGCTTTGAAAAGTAACCCCCTGGAAGCCTTCTCTCATGCCCCGGGCTGGGCGAGGACCACATTCCTCATCCCCTCCACCACAGTCAGGGTGCTCTCCCTGTGCGTCCTCTGCATTTGTCACATCTCTAATTGCCCCACACCTGTGTGTCTCTTTTTCCACTGGGCTGGAGGGAGGCAGGGAGTGGCTGCTTTGTCCCCATTGTTTTGCCCAGCATCTAGCACAGTGCCTGGCACATACCAACAGCTCAATAAACTTTGTTGACTAAATGATTGAGGAGAAGTAGCCTCTGAAAGCACCATTAAAGTGCCTTCTACAGATATTTATTAAGACCTTTCTCAGAGCTGCTCCCAGAAATATAGGCTGCAGTCTCAGCTTTAGTAGGTGGGGAGACCAGATGCACATCTGTAATGACGATCCTATCATTTTATCACAGCAGTGCTGTGATCTGAACCAAGGTCTCCTGACTCCCAGTCAGTGCTCTTTCCACTCTCCTATGGGCTTTAACCCTTAGTAGCCCCGTGACATTGGGCAAGTTACTTGTCCTCACTCAGAGGGTGGTGGAAGGACTAAGTGCGTTAAAGTATGTAAAAGGCAGGTGAAGAGCTGCATGTAGTGCCAGGCATACAGTAAGCACTCGGTCCTGGGTCCTGGCGCCCTCACCTATGGTCCCATGCATCTGGGCAGCCACTGTCATTGTACCTGCAACACCATATTCCAATGATCTTGCCTTCCAATCTTTAAACACCTCAAGAGCTGATCTTACTCTTGCTCATTTCATATCCTCAGCACAGGGTGGCCAAGTTAATGTCTTTGCAATGAACTGAAGTGCTGAACTGGCCATCAGTTCAGGAGGGCGGGATGTAGTGTTTCTCATCATCACCAATGTTGAAACACAAGGGAGCAGAGATAGAACTCAGGAAGGACCTGACAGCCTGAGAAGGGCTCCAACCCAGAAGAGGAGCAGGGGCTGGGAAGGGTGGAGGTGGGCTTCTCTGTCCCAGAATCTGAAAGAACAAGAAGGACTTAGTCATGATGACTCCAATGACCCCTTCCAGTTTTCCAACTTTTCCAATTCCCTATTTAGGCTTCCAACCTGGAGATGGCCATTGCTGATGCTGAGCAGCGGGGAGATAATGCCCTGAAGGATGCCCGGGCCAAGCTGGATGAGCTGGAGGCTGCCCTGCACCAGGCCAAGGAGGAGCTGGCCCGGATGCTGCGCGAGTACCAGGAGCTCATGAGTCTGAAGCTGGCCCTGGACATGGAGATCGCCACCTACCGCAAGCTTCTGGAGGGCGAGGAGTGCCGGTGAGGGGGACACTGTGGCCGGAAGACCCCAAGGGCTAGGGAAGGACCAAAGGCGAAAGCCTAACACGCCCTAATTCAGAAAAGAGTTCTTAGGGAGTGAAGGGCTGATAATGATGGAATAATAGTAGCAATTAATACCTACCCAGGTGTGAGTGCTTACTTCAGACCAGGCACTGGCCCTGAGCTGGCGGATTAACTCATTCAATCCTCACCACTTCTAGGGGTGTACCTAGACATACTCCCCACTCCCCTCCACCCCAAATAAAACCTCACTACTATGTTAGGCCTTCTTGTACTACCTTCCTTACCTGTCCAGGTACAAGAAGAGCTTGTTAGAGATGTTCCAGGGCTGCCATTCCAGTTTCCCCATTGTTCTGGAGAGATGGAGAGGCTCAGTGCCCAGGCCTGACCCTTGGGAGGCGTGTATGCCGTCCCTCCATGGAACTACTGCTTGACTTGGGTTGTAGCCTGTTACCCCAAAGATTCACGGGTGGCCCCCATAGCTTCTCAGGCTCTACTTGTGCCAAAGAAGCCCTGGAATTTCCACAGGTGCCATTGGGTTTGGAAACCCACAATGGGGCTGTGAGGGCACTAGCTTTGAGGTTAGTAGACTGTGGGTTGGATGACTGTTTGTTCTTATTTTATTTCTCTCCCTAACAGGATGTCAGGAGAATTTCCCTCCCCTGTTAGCATCTGTAAGTATTTGTATGCTTGTTCCTAAAATTGTAGAATCTGTGGACCAGAAAGGACCTCAGTCACACCCTCTGTGTGAAGATGTGCAATCTAAGGATCAGAGAGGGAAAAACCTTGCCTGAGATCACACAGCAAGATAGCAGAGGCATGGCCAGCAATCACGCTGCCTGACTCCCAGCCCAGAGCTCCTCCCTCTATCACAGTCCCCCATTCCCAGGGGATGGCAGCTAGGAAAGCAATTGCTGAGGCAATGGGGAAATGAAGGACATGTTTTGAGGGAAGAGTATGGCTGTGTGTGAGGCTTGGGGAGCCAGGTGTGCCAGCTGTGGTCAGGCCTGGGCTGGGCAATTAGAGGGGGGCTAAGGGAATTCATGAATGGGGGACCTCGGAGGCCAAGCTGACAAGGCTGGACCTCTGGATTTCTCCACAGCACTGAGAGAGTTAAACCAGAGCGTTTAAAAGATGCCATCTGTGGGGCAGCTGGCCAGTTGGAGTCTGGAGGCTGGGAAGTTCAGCAAAAAGGCTCACAGAAAGACAGCTAGGGGCACTGGTACCTGAATCAAAGAGACGGGCCTCTGAGAGTTAGGAATCATCCAGATTGGGTGTAAACTGGGCAAGCCAAGGGCAGGACACGAGGGAAGCTGTTTCTGGAATGTTTTCCCCCAGTGGGGGTGCAACTGTGACTGGAAACCCCACCCAACCTGTTGCTTCAAGCAGAGCCCCATCCATCCTGGGGAAAAGCAGCCTCCTGCTGGGCTAGAGGGCACTGACCCCCCTGTCCCTCTGCAGCCATTATCAGCACCACCAGCGGCGGCAGCTATGGCTTCCGGCCCAGCTCGGTCAGTGGCGGCTACGTAGCCAACAGTGGCAGCTGCATCTCTGGGGTTTGCAGTGTCCGTGGTGGGGAGGCCCGGAGCAGAAGCAGCACCAGCGACTACAAGGATACGCTGGGGAAGGGCTCCAGCCTGCATGCCCCCTCCAAGAAAGCCAGTAGGTAGAGAGGGCTGCCCCATGCCCTGGCACCACCCTATGTGCCCCCTCTGGCTCTCACATGCACCCTCCCTAGCCCACTGTCAACCCCTCTCCACCCTGCTGGCCCTGCTCTCATACCTCTGGACTGGCCTTGGCCACCCCACCTTTCCTAGCCTGTCTTCCTGAGCCTGGACAGGTGTGGACTCCTACACGTGGTGAAATTCCTCCCTGCACACACCTGTCATTCACTTCATTGGCTGCAGCCCCTGGCTCCTGGCCTTCCCTCGCAGTACAGCCTTTGGCTCAGCACTAACTACTCTGTCTGGCTCCCTGGGTTTCAGACAGAGGCCTGCTCCACACTGGGGCCTTTGCCTAGCTCCTACCTATGCTGGGAGCTGGCTCTGTGGTCAAGAAAAGGAGGACTGAAGGACAAACAGCCAAGAGAAGCCAGTCCCTGCCCCAGCCTGGCTAGGCTCACAGCTCATTCTGGGTGGGACCAAGTACAACTCAGGATCTCTTGCTTTGCTCTCCTGCATCCAGAGCAGAGAAGAAGAGGCTCGTTCATGGCTCCTTTCTTCTTAAAGCCCCTGCCACTGCATCCTCAATAAACAGCACAATCTGATGGCTTGGTCTCTGAGTAGTCAAAGTGTGGACACATACTCAGTCCAGATGCCCATGTGAGCAGGCACCTCACACCCACAGACACACATGATGCACCTCTATGTATCACCTGTGGGGCCCATATTTCTAGTTAATTTGTCTATAGAACAGATAAAGAAGCTCTCAGGGCACACATGACAGGGGGGCCACGAGCACCACCAGGACAGCAGGGAGATGAACGTGGGGCGGAGTCTGGGAGGGGGGAGGGAGGAGTCTGGGAGAGAAGGACGGACAAGCGGAGGAAGTGGGTATGTGCCGCCTGGTTTGTGGCTTGCAACACAGGTATCACTGACAGAAGTGGTCCTGCTCCTGACAGGGACCCTGGCCTCTTTCTAAGGACTGGATCTTTCCTAGAGGGAAGGTGGGGACTTGGCAGACACATATCTATGTTTATTCAACCCTTTTCTCAGAAGCCTGGACACCTGGGGTGTCACCAGGATGAGTGGAGCTGGTGGGGAGCCCACACTTTGGGCCTGTCTGCCACAATGCTAAGATAGGGGACACATTCTCAGAGCCTGAGGCTGGACTGGGATGGAGGGAGTTGGAGGTCAGGATAGGCTGTGAATTTCAGTGACTGGGCACCTCCTCAGACACCTGCACCCTGGAACCACTGTGGTGGTGGCCAGTCCTGCCCTGTGGCGAGGAAGGGTATAAGAAGGACAGACAGATTCCCCTGCAGCCAGTGAAGGCAGGCAAACCTCCACCAGGAAGTCCTTGGGGGCCTGAGGGGTTTCCAACAGAAGGAAGAGGGGTTGGAGGGTGGGATGACAGACGGAGTCTCAGAGCAGTGGTTGGGGCTTGGGGCAAGGCCACAGGGCTGAGCTTGGGCCCCCACCACCCAGGAGCCCACTCCCCCACCCCCATCATCAGCCAGAGCCTCCCTCGGATGCTGCGCGAGTACCAGGAGCTCATGAGTCTGAAGCTGGCCCTGGACATGGAGATCGCCACCTACCGCAAGCTGCTGGAGGGCGAGGAGTGCCGGTGAGGGGGACACTGTGGCCGGAAGACCCCAAGGGCTGGGGAAGGACCAAAGGCGAAAGCCTAACACGCCCTAATTCAGAAAAGAGTTCTTAGGGAGTGAAGGGCTGATAATGATGGAATAATAGTAGCAATTAATACCTACCCAGGTGTGAGTGCTTACTTCAGACCAGGCACTGGCCCTGAGCTGGCGGATTAACTCATTCAATCCTCACCACTTCTAGGGGTGTACCTAGACATACTCCCCACTCCCCTCCACCCCAAATAAAACCTCACTACTATGTTAGGCCTTCTTGTACTACCTTCCTTACCTGTCCAGGTACAAGAAGAGCTTGTTAGAGATGTTCCAGGGCTGCCATTCCAGTTTCCCCATTGTTCTGGAGAGATGGAGAGGCTCAGTGCCCAGGCCTGACCCTTGGGAGGCGTGTATGCCGTCCCTCCATGGAACTACTGCTTGACTTGGGTTGTAGCCTGTTACCCCAAAGATTCACGGGTGGCCCCCATAGCTTCTCAGGCTCTACTTGTGCCAAAGAAGCCCTGGAATTTCCACAGGTGCCATTGGGTTTGGAAACCCACAATGGGGCTGTGAGGGCACTAGCTTTGAGGTTAGTAGACTGTGGGTTGGATGACTGTTTGTTCTTATTTTATTTCTCTCCCTAACAGGATGTCAGGAGAATTTCCCTCCCCTGTTAGCATCTGTAAGTATTTGTATGCTTGTTCCTAAAATTGTAGAATCTGTGGACCAGAAAGGACCTCAGTCACACCCTCTGTGTGAAGATGTGCAATCTAAGGATCAGAGAGGGAAAAACCTTGCCTGAGATCACACAGCAAGATAGCAGAGGCATGGCCAGCAATCACGCTGCCTGACTCCCAGCCCAGAGCTCCTCCCTCTATCACAGTCCCCCATTCCCAGGGGATGGCAGCTAGGAAAGCAATTGCTGAGGCAATGGGGAAATGAAGGACATGTTTTGAGGGAAGAGTATGGCTGTGTGTGAGGCTTGGGGAGCCAGGTGTGCCAGCTGTGGTCAGGCCTGGGCTGGGCAATTAGAGGGGGGCTAAGGGAATTCATGAATGGGGGACCTCGGAGGCCAAGCTGACAAGGCTGGACCTCTGGATTTCTCCACAGCACTGAGAGAGTTAAACCAGAGCGTTTAAAAGATGCCATCTGTGGGGCAGCTGGCCAGTTGGAGTCTGGAGGCTGGGAAGTTCAGCAAAAAGGCTCACAGAAAGACAGCTAGGGGCACTGGTACCTGAATCAAAGAGACGGGCCTCTGAGAGTTAGGAATCATCCAGATTGGGTGTAAACTGGGCAAGCCAAGGGCAGGACACGAGGGAAGCTGTTTCTGGAATGTTTTCCCCCAGTGGGGGTGCAACTGTGACTGGAAACCCCACCCAACCTGTTGCTTCAAGCAGAGCCCCATCCATCCTGGGGAAAAGCAGCCTCCTGCTGGGCTAGAGGGCACTGACCCCCCTGTCCCTCTGCAGCCATTATCAGCACCACCAGCGGCGGCAGCTATGGCTTCCGGCCCAGCTCGGTCAGTGGCGGCTACGTAGCCAACAGTGGCAGCTGCATCTCTGGGGTTTGCAGTGTCCGTGGTGGGGAGGCCCGGAGCAGAAGCAGCACCAGCGACTACAAGGATACGCTGGGGAAGGGCTCCAGCCTGCATGCCCCCTCCAAGAAAGCCAGTAGGTAGAGAGGGCTGCCCCATGCCCTGGCACCACCCTATGTGCCCCCTCTGGCTCTCACATGCACCCTCCCTAGCCCACTGTCAACCCCTCTCCACCCTGCTGGCCCTGCTCTCATACCTCTGGACTGGCCTTGGCCACCCCACCTTTCCTAGCCTGTCTTCCTGAGCCTGGACAGGTGTGGACTCCTACACGTGGTGAAATTCCTCCCTGCACACACCTGTCATTCACTTCATTGGCTGCAGCCCCTGGCTCCTGGCCTTCCCTCGCAGTACAGCCTTTGGCTCAGCACTAACTACTCTGTCTGGCTCCCTGGGTTTCAGACAGAGGCCTGCTCCACACTGGGGCCTTTGCCTAGCTCCTACCTATGCTGGGAGCTGGCTCTGTGGTCAAGAAAAGGAGGACTGAAGGACAAACAGCCAAGAGAAGCCAGTCCCTGCCCCAGCCTGGCTAGGCTCACAGCTCATTCTGGGTGGGACCAAGTACAACTCAGGATCTCTTGCTTTGCTCTCCTGCATCCAGAGCAGAGAAGAAGAGGCTCGTTCATGGCTCCTTTCTTCTTAAAGCCCCTGCCACTGCATCCTCAATAAACAGCACAATCTGATGGCTTGGTCTCTGAGTAGTCAAAGTGTGGACACATACTCAGTCCAGATGCCCATGTGAGCAGGCACCTCACACCCACAGACACACATGATGCACCTCTATGTATCACCTGTGGGGCCCATATTTCTAGTTAATTTGTCTATAGAACAGATAAAGAAGCTCTCAGGGCACACATGACAGGGGGGCCACGAGCACCACCAGGACAGCAGGGAGATGAACGTGGGGCGGAGTCTGGGGGGGGGGAGGGAGGAGTCTGGGAGAGAAGGACGGACAAGCGGAGGAAGTGGGTATGTGCCGCCTGGTTTGTGGCTTGCAACACAGGTATCACTGACAGAAGTGGTCCTGCTCCTGACAGGGACCCTGGCCTCTTTCTAAGGACTGGATCTTTCCTAGAGGGAAGGTGGGGACTTGGCAGACACATATCTATGTTTATTCAACCCTTTTCTCAGAAGCCTGGACACCTGGGGTGTCACCAGGATGAGTGGAGCTGGTGGGGAGCCCACACTTTGGGCCTGTCTGCCACAATGCTAAGATAGGGGACACATTCTCAGAGCCTGAGGCTGGACTGGGATGGAGGGAGTTGGAGGTCAGGATAGGCTGTGAATTTCAGTGACTGGGCACCTCCTCAGACACCTGCACCCTGGAACCACTGTGGTGGTGGCCAGTCCTGCCCTGTGGCGAGGAAGGGTATAAGAAGGACAGACAGATTCCCCTGCAGCCAGTGAAGGCAGGCAAACCTCCACCAGGAAGTCCTTGGGGGCCTGAGGGGTTTCCAACAGAAGGAAGAGGGGTTGGAGGGTGGGATGACAGACGGAGTCTCAGAGCAGTGGTTGGGGCTTGGGGCAAGGCCACAGGGCTGAGCTTGGGCCCCCACCACCCAGGAGCCCACTCCCCCACCCCCATCATCAGCCAGAGCCTCCCAGCTGCCCTTGACCTGGAAGTCTAACACCATTCAGCAGGAACGGGGAGAGAGTGAGCAGATCAGGCAGGACTCAGCAACAAGTTGGCTTCCCTGGGCAACAGGCAAGGCCCCGATGTCCTGACGTGGGGGCCCTCTGCACGCATGGCAGCAACTGCTCTGTGTTTTCACCAGTGAAGGAACTGAGACCCGGGGAGAGGCAGGGGCCTCATCTGAGGCAACAGAGTAGTCAGGGGCAAAGCCAGGCTCGGGCCCTAGAGCCTGTGCTCTTTCCAACACACCCATAGGAGGGTGGCCCTGGCCTCCAACATGGGTGACAGGGTCCTGTCCCTGAGGTGGGCAGGAGCATCAGGGGTGAGGGTAACCTCAGGAGCAGAGGGAGTGGGGCGCACCAAAAGGGTCCAGTGTTCGGTGTTCAGTGGCTTTCAGTGGGGCGGAGGAGGGAGTACAGGCAGTGCCTGAGGCCAGTCAGGAGGCTGGAGGGGTAGGTGGCGCGAGGGTAGGTGCAGGGCAGAGGCTGTCTGGGGAAGCAGACGGTGCACCAGGCCCAGCCAGTCGGCTCCTTCTCCCAAGCCTTTGGCTCCCTGAAGCCCGGGAGGAGCAGAGGGAAGGAACATCTGAGGCAGAGGAAAAAAGGTTCAGATTCACACTGTAGTAGGGCTGAGGCCCCTGGTCCTTCAGCCCCCTCAGGGTTTGGAGGGGCCTTCAGTAGGAAGCTGGAGATGGAGGCCTGATTCACAGAAACAGGATCTTGACCTTCTGAGTACCTGTCTGTGGGACTTGGGGTTGGAGTACATTCCTGGAGTGCTTGCCCTGGGTATTGAGTCCCTGGAGCTGTGGTTGGCTGAAAGGAAGGGGTTGGAAGTGGGAGAGCTGAGGACACAAGGGTGAAGTGGGAGACCTTGTGCTGAGGGACTGCCGGGACCCGTACCCCAGGTGGAATGGACCGCTTTAAGAGGCAGGGTGTGCAAGAGCAGTCTCAGCAGCTCCTGGTGGGTATTGTGGGGGACTCCAGAACTGCATGAATGGTTTGGCCAGACCAGTGCCTCTCAAACTGTAATTTGCACATCAGCCTGCTGGGCACCTTGTTAAAATGCACCTTATGCTTCATCAGGTCCAGCTGGGGCCTAAGAGTCTGTATTTTAACAAGCTCCCAGGTGGTGCTCATGCTGCTGGTCCTTGAACCTCCCTTTGAGTAGCAAAGACTCAATGAGATGCAAGGCCCCTTCCAGCCTGAGAGCATTAAACACTTTAGTAACTGAACTGTTTGTGCCTTAACTTGGCAGCCAAGTCCCAGCAGGAGATTTCACTGTGGCAGCCAAGACCAGAATAGAGGAAATGTAGGGTGTTTGCACCCAGAGCAGCATTTTCAGATTTGGGTTCCTTTCAGCTTCATCACTGGAAACAAAGTTTCTGCAGGGTGGAACCACCCCATGTTGGTAGTTGGGCATTTTCTCAAGGGGCTGGGACTCTTCCCAGGGAGAAGAGAGAGGGCATTCCTGGCAGAGGAAACAGCAGGAACGAAGGCAAGGAGGCTTAAAACAGCAGTCGGCAATGACTGGAGAAGGGAGCTTGCATGACCTTTGGTAAGAAATAAGTCTGGGAAGAGAGATGGGGCTAGTTCACAGACGGAATTCTACCCAGCAGTAAGTTTGAACTTGATTCTGTGAAATGGGGAGGTAGAGAACAGCTTTGAATCTAATTAGATTCTTGTTTTATAAAATCTTCCTTTGGCCTTTGGGTGGAGGGAGGGGCTGCGAGCAGAGGCTGGCCGCCACGGTTGCTGTGGCTGGTGTGGGGATAAAAATCTAGGCAGATATTGAAGTTTCTAGCTTAATTGACTGGGCAGTCATACCACTCATGGGGAGAGGGAGTAAGAGGGTCATGTTCTGAAGGAAGCCGTGGAGCTCAGTTTTGGATAAGCTGAGTTGGAGGAGCCTGTGTACAGTCAGATGTCCAGTACATGACTGAATAAAAAAAGTCTGGGCTGGGATTCAAACGTGGGAGGTGTCAGAATTTGGGGGCAGAGAGTATACACAGAGAGGTAATTAGAAGTCCTAGGACGGAGCCCTGGGGCAACGGCAGAGGGAGGGAGAGGATCCAGCAGAGGAGTCTGAGAAGGAGTGACGGGAGAGGTGGGTGGGGAACCAGGAGGTTCTCAGGAATCCAGAAAGAAAAAAATGCTCAGGGAGAAGAAAAGGCTCAATATGGGCAAACATTGCAGCAAAGTCAAGAAAGGGCAAGAGTCAAAGATGGCTTTGGATCTAGTGATGGGGGTGGGTGGAGGACTTTTGCCCAGGTGGGTTTAGGGGAGGAGAACTGGGCAGAAGGCCTGTTGATGTGTGAGTGGGCAGAGGGGCACACAGTCAACTCAGCTATGAAGGAAAGCGAGCTTGGAGGAGGAGGGTAGTGAGAACACACTGCATGTTTACCAGGGGTGTGCCAAGTGGAGCACAAGCACGCAAAGCTCTATAAACGTAGCAGGTCTTGGAATAAGGCAGTGGAGATGGGATTAAGGGACTGCAGATGGCAGGACAAGCTCTGAAAGGGACACAGCGGGTGGAACGTTGAGAAAACTGGTACCTAATAGCTTAGACTTTTGTGCCAGGTGAAAGGCATGGCCATGTGCCGAGGACAGTGTAAGGGACATGAGCAGAGGGTGAGGGGCAGGACAGGAAGCTGATCCTAGCTTCCAGTGTACAAGCATTGTGATGGGCCTCAAGTCCTGCCTCCACATCTGTCCCACTGTGCTGCCTTCCCCACTCACAGCCAAGTGATGCTCTGTGGCATGGATGCAGAGAAAGAGAAAGCAAGGTATAACCCCTGCACTCTGGTAGCTACTGGTCCTATGGGCAGTTTGAGCCACCCAGGAATGATGCAGGAGGAAACACTGGTACACATGAATAAAGTATAGGAGATGTATTTTTGAAGTTGAATTCAGAGTGGGAGCCACAGAGGGGGAATGATTCAGGGTATAGAGCTGTACCACAGCCTGACCAAAGGGCCAACTTCAGGGCCCAGGACACTATAAATGAGCTCCCACAGTGGGAAGGAGACTAAGTGGGGTCCACCTGACACCTCCCACCTGATCTCTGAGGCTGCAGAGAGGAGCCACCAGGGGTCAGCCACTGGGTGTGATGAGGATCTGGGGACATCTTGGGCTGGGGGCTGGTCTTAGAACATACTAGCAGCAGCTGGACAGCTTCAGTGGTCTGGGTTAGATGGCTTGTACAAAAGGTTGCTGAAGTGGAGCTGAGGGCAAGGGCAGGTCTAGGGGTGCATCCCAGGAGTGAGGGGCCATGGTTGGCCATGACTATGGGAGAAGAGGAGAGGGGAGCCAGAGTGTGCTCACTTTCCTCAGATGCAGGTAATGAAGCCTCTTGATGCCTGGCAAGTGCCCCTTGCTTTCTGAGACCCCTTGTCTGCTCCCCAACCTGTCTTTCTCATCCTTTCTCTCACTTGCCCTGACGCCAGTGACGGGGGCTGAGTGATCTTCACCTTTGAACTCCTGTGCCTGGTACACCATTTGCACTCAGCACAAGCTGGTGGGCTGATGAGCCCTATGGGGTCTGACTCCAGGCTATTGTGGTGGCTGCTGACAGGAGCTAGCCCTTGGGACACCCTGCTGAAGGGGACCGTGCAGCAGGCCGAGCCACACAACAGCCCGGTTGGGGGACTATTGGGAGGATCAAGCTGGCCTTAGAGGGTGGAGGCTGGCACCCTTGGGACATCTCTGGCAGACGAGGAGAACAAAAGGGGCCCCAATTTGCATCTGGGGGTTCTGCCAGGAGGGGCAAGGCCTCCTGACTTTGACTGCTGCTCAGCTGCTTTGCTCCATCTGCGAAGCCTCATCCATGTGGCCCTTTCTTACACTCCAGCACCAGAGAACCAGGTGGGGTCTGAGGAGAGGGGTGGATACTGATGTCTATGGAGTACCTACTATGGGCCAGAATCCCCTTGGGCTGGGCACATCACCTGTGCCACCTCTCTGAGGTGGGTGTTTTTATTCCTAAATCAGTGACATGCTAAATCCAGGGACATGGAGCTATACATGGAGCCAGGAT